CACACACACACACACACACACACACACACACACACACACAACGTGGGGTGCGTGAACACAAACACACACACACACACACACGGGAACACAAACACACACACACACACACACACACACACACACACACACACACACACACACACACACATACATGTATGTGTGCTCTTAGATCACGAAAGGGGAAAATAGAAATTCCAGCTATGCTTATCTATTTCATCAGTTTTCATTTTTTCTAAAGTGATTTTCAGCTTCTTGCTGCTTCTCACTTTTCTTCATGTTCTAACCACCTCGGTTTAGAAACCAGACCAGTCTTTTACTTTCTGTGTATCATCGAGATATAAGGAAAGATTGCAGATGTCAGAGGATTGGGGGATTCCGAAATGGAGCCAAACAAGGCACTTGAGCAGACTGTCTGGAAGGAAGGAGAAACTGTTTAGTATACATTATCAAAATTTGTCGTGATGGCTCAAGTCCTGACCCAGCATTTGTCAACCTGAGAGATATAGCCCATTAGAGGGTGATCTGGTAATTATGGTGGGCGATGGGGATCCCCCGGCCAGTGCAAATACCCTGTTTGAAAATACATACTGGTGGACGGTTCAAAGATTTTAGTCTCTTTAACTTAAAGGTGGCGAAAGTGAGCGCTGGCTATAGGAAAAAAAAAGATTGACAGGCACTGGCCCAAACTCATAGGCATAACTGGAATCTGTGGTGTGAGTGAAGGTTAATGCTCATCGCCATCTGATGCAGAAGAAGACGCCAGTTCAATTTCTCTCTCTCTCTCTCTCTCTCTCTCTCTCTCTCTCTCTCTCTCTCTCTCTCTCTCTCTCTCTCTCTCTCTCTCTCTCTCTCTCTCTCTCACTCTGTCTCTCTGTGTTGTTGTTTTTTGTTGGTGTTATTGTTGTTGTTGTCATTTTTATTGTTGTTATTATTATTATTATTATTATTATTATTATTATTATTATTATTACAATTATTATTATTATTATTATTATTACTACTACTACAATTATTATCATTATTATTATTATTATTATTATTATTATTATTATTATTATTATTATTATTATTATTATTATTATTATTATTATTTTATCTCATGTTCAGATCGGCAACCATGACGTCGCCCGTTTGACGGTGAAGTACGGGCCGCAGCACGTGGGCATCTACAACATGTTACTACTCACCCTGTGGGGGACGCCCACTTGTTACTATGGAGACGAGATTGGCCTCGAACCACCCACCATTACCTGGGAGCAAACCGTGGACCCTTGGGGACTCAACTATGGCCCGGTAGGTGCTTGTGTGCGGGGGTTGGGAGTGGGGTGTGGGGAGGGGGGTGTGTAGGGGGAGGGGGAGGGGCGAAGGGAGGTTGTTTATTGTTTAGTTCGTTGAATATATTTGTAGTTATTTCTCTGAGGATGGTGGTAGTGGTGGTGATGGTGATGATGATGATGATGATGATGATGATGATGATGATGATGATGATGATGATGAGGAGGAGGAGGAGGAGGAGGAGGAGGAGGAGGAGGAGGAGGAGGAGGATGACGAGGATGATGATCTTTTATTTGGTACTGTCATTTATAGAGGCACCCGCCATCCATGCTTTAACCAGATCTACAATGTATTTGAGAAATGAAATGACACTGGGTGGTTTTTTCACACGGGAGACGAATTCAGAATATAAGCACTTATACCTTCGAGGACAATATTATCTTTAGAAGGAGGACCAATTGTTGTCTGCCCACGAGCAGACTTGAAAGTATTTAGATCATCTAAAATATAAGGCTGCGTGAAAATATACTGGGCAATGCAACATTATCTGAAGAAATTGGGGGAGGGGGGGGGGGGGGGGGGTACAAGAAAAAAAACCTCTGGACACGAGAACTTGAACGTACAATGGAAGGGTACTAACTTTACTTTTTGTCTTACCTTTTCCTTCCTCTGGTATCCTTGGGATGTTGAGGGAGGTGCAGGTTTCGTTCTGTTGCAAGGTTTGTAGCGTCTCTGATAGATATGTTGTTTCAGGATCTTTTTAACCCCTTCCAGCCTGGTCTTCCTTAGCCTTCCTCTTGACTTGAAGCCGGATTCACAGGTGTTGTAAGCTCTAGTCGCTAGAACTGCTTCTGGGACATTCTAGTTAGATGTCCGAACCATTTGACTCTTTGACACTTTATGACATTTATTACTGGTGGTATTCCGGTTTGTAGACGTATGGTCTCGTTCCTTATGCGGTCTCTTCTGATGACGTTGATGGTTTTGCGGAGGCCCCTCCTTTCGTATGTACTGACTTTTCTTTCTTGTGCCTTGTTTAGAGACCATGTTTGGGACTGGTAAGTTAAGGTTTGCATGAAGATGCTATTGTTGAGCTGGGACTAAATAAATATATCAATCTTTTCTTTTATTTCGACAGACTCGATACTCAGAATTCAGCCGCGATCCCCAACGAACCCCCATGCAGTGGGACAGTTCCTCTCAAGCTGGTTTTACTACTGGGAACTCCACCTGGTTGCCCATCGATCCTAGTTATAATCGGATTAATGTTAAAGTGAGTACTGTAAATACCACAAGGTTTACATGTACAATGTTGTACGAAGAGATATAACCTCTTTGATGTAGTACAGAAAAGCATTAACTCCTCTTTCAACATTAACAGTGGAGGCGGGACCTCCGAATCTGAAGTGCATCTCCGTTAGAACCTAACCAAATTTTAATAGTTGAAGACTCTTGAAAACTCCCCAAACAACCCAAGTTTATGAAAGCGCATTGTTGTTTCGAACCACATTCATCCACACCAAAGCCCACCATGATAACAACTGAGCTGATTACTCACCAGAATACATGTACATGGGAATCTAATTCAGACAACGTTACAATGTGATAAATACAAGGTGAAATCATGAGTTTTACGCCCTTACAAAGCCAATTTCCAAATTTGTACAAACTTAGCCTCCCTTACAGCGGGTCGGAGAGTTTTTAAACATCTTAAATACAGTCGAACCGCTGCTCTAACAGTAACAGCCACTTGTCCAACACAATCACCTGCTGTACTCACTACCACTTGATCCCCTCCCAACACTCCACTCTCCCCTTTTTCATTTTAATAATATTATAAAGACAGACACTATCCAAGACGTCCATATCTTTCTAAGACAAATACCTCTCTCCTCTACAATGAGTAGCCATCAACTACAATTTCGACTGTAGTTTTTATCTCTTTAGTGACGTGTGTCTTACCTCTTTGCTCGCTAAAAATGAGCAGGGGGTATGTGTTTGAACCCCACGATATATATGTGTGTGCTCTCCCCCCCTCCTTTCTCCTCCCCCACAGACCGAGCAAGAAAGTGCTGGTCAGAGCAACATCAAACTATACAAACAGCTGGCTGCACTCCGCAAGAACAAGGCTTTTCAACTGGGATCTTTCAAGGTAGGCGGATATTGTTGTTGCTGTTATTGTTGTTGTTGCTGTTGTTGTTGTTGTTGTTGTTGTTGTTGTTGTTGAATTTGTTGCTGCTGCTGTTGTTGCTGTTAGTATTGCTGTTGCTATTGTTGTTGTTGTTGTTATTGTTGTTGTTCTTATTGTTGTTGTTGTGGCTGTTGCTGTTGGCG